TGAGAATACCCCTAACTATGATTTTCTTTTCCTGTTTTGATATCATTTATTATATTAACATTATGTATTATACTCTTCCACAATAATGAATTAACCATATGTTGCTGCTAGTCAGGTTCACATAAAACATGCTAGCAAGGTCATTTGCTAGTACCTTTTTTATGAGATAAACTAGCAGCAACATATGGCCAATTTCCCAGATGGAAGAGACCCAAAATTTAGAATTTTTAAATAAGAAACATACCAATGATAAATATTAAAGTTTCTTTTGATGGCTGTTAAATAATTTATTTTATTTGCATACCTTATGACTTTCAGAGATAACAGAACTCAACATTTGCATAGTTCAGGTGCTTGATTCCATTTCTTATCTCTCATGTACTGTTACTACTTATATTCTAACTTTATAAAAATTAAAGATTGCCAATTGAGGATTTTTGAGTAATTCTCAAGGCAATTGGTTACAAAATGGGGTGAAAGGCAAAGAACATAGATCAAACTGCACACCTGACATAAACTAGTCTTGTAGACAAACTTACATTGCACATCCGAAGTCAAATTGACTACATTCAGTGATCAGGACTCAGAATTTTAAAGATAATGCACTGTTCATTACCTTTCAGATGACTATTTAGTTCATAGAGTTGTCTTTCTTCCAAAGTAAAAATTATGTTACACCAATTTGTGCAGATTTTTTCATAGCACCCATTATAACATTCCTTCACTTATTTATATTTCCTTTCGGCTTGCCTAATATTTAATCATTTCAAAATAATAGTATAATTATACTCTATTTTAGTATAATTAATTCCAGCTTAATCATTAAATTCAGAATATAGCAATTTTGCTTCACTTGTTTTGACTCCTTAGATATAAGAACAGCAAGGACTTCAAGGAAAAGCCTTTTTCAATGGTCCTTTTACAATAATTAACCAACAAAACAAAACAAAAAGAAAAAAAAAGTCAAACAAAAGTTCCAAACTTATAAATACTGCTATTTTTAACACATCTGTGATTTAATAGATAGCATTTAGTTATAAATATCAAAAATTGAATAAAACTATTCAATAAGTCATAGCATTATAAATCATTTATATATTTTACTAGCATTTATATGAATTTTAATTGTTAAAAATTATGTAATTCTCTGTTTATATTTAATACATTATATATTGACTTTACAATGTAAGCTTATGTATCAATAAAATTTCTTTCATGATTTGTGATAATTAATTCTTTTCAATCCATGTAAAATAAAACTTCTTCCTCTAGATCATGAAAGTTACGAAGAAATTAACTTTATAAATAAAATCTTAGAATTCGCTTTGAATTCATTGTTTGTAGAAAGGCAAATTCCATATTTATCATTAGCTATAATTGTCAATTTAATCATTTAAATATAAACTATGTAAAGAGAAAAAAAGATAATAGCTAAAACTTATAAATATTATAATACAAAAACTTATTAAAGGCAACAAAACAAATTTAGTGTGAACATGGAGAAAAAGAAACAATCAAAGCAATGAATGCATACAAACTCATCAAACAAACCCAAGAAATTCAAGCAATTGTTTTCCAGCAAAAAGACGACAACTATAGTTTTTTGGAATCATAAAAGAGTTTTTAGATTTTACAGAGCCTGGAATTACTGTTACTTCATAGGTGTAATGTGAAACTCTAAAAAACTTCTAAGGGCAATTCAGACAAGAGGCAAGGCATGTCTTCAGTTGTGGTTCTTGTTCAGTACAATTCATGCTCACATACAGCTGCACACGTATTGCTTCAACAATTTCAATGGGAACCTACAACTCCAACCTCATACCAAGTGACTTTCATTTATTCCCAAAAACGAAATCATGGTTGGGAACACAGTAATTAGAGTCCAATGAAGAACTGATGCAGGGCATTCATGGATGGCTGAACTCCCAGGTGGCAAACTTCTTTGATGAGGGAATACAGAAAATGGTGCCACATTACGATAAATGCCTGAATTCTGCATAACTTGCGTCAAAAAATAACTATGATAAGTACATACCTTTCTGCACAATAAATATAGTTTAGGAAACATAGCATCCATTTCTGGAAATCCATATCTAGCAGGATCAGCTGGACAGTTACAACAATCAAGGAGCTCATATCATAGGTAACTCAATGATGATAAAGAGACATTGTTGCAGGACATCCATCATCTCAATGGAATAGAATTCCATTGCTGGAATTATTAGCTACCATATCATCAGAAGCTTATTGTCAAAGGATCACAACCCTGACCCTTTATAAAATGTATAGCTTAATTATAATAGAACCAATTGCAAAAGAAACAAAAACAGATCTGTAACAGAAAAAGCAAGCTACAATACAATATGATTATTATTGGCACATACAGTAATAAAAGGATGATAGATAACTTCTCTTGTTTTTTTGCTACATCTCGTATTATAGTACTGTACATGGTAATATTGAATATTAATACATTTATATCTATGTACAATTGAACAAATGACACAAATTTAAAAATAAGTTTCTGATATTCATTTTTCATTTTGTAAAACAAATAATGAAATTTATAATAATAATTTACTATTCAATATTAAAATTATAGGCATAGTAGATTAGTTAATCTATTAACAGTTGTATAAAGAAAAATTGAATATCATTATGATCTAATTTAATATTTTTATAATTCTTTTTTATCCAAACAATGAATTATTTGTGTAAAACTGTTAATGAATAATTTATATTAATTTGTGTGTTTTTATGATGACTATTTTATTGTAAATTATACTTACAGTATTGTAAATGCTCCGTATAATTTCACATTTTACCCACACTTTACACAAGAAACTGTTTCAACAATTTTAAAAATTTAATTTTTTACAACTTTAGATATTATGGTTGATTAACAGCAGTGTTAATAAAATGATATCACAGTCAATCCAGGCCCAATGTGCTAATTTGTGGCATCCAGGACTTTATCGATATAATTCTTACTTTAATGTTTGTAAATTACCATTGTTGATACAGCACAAATTCACAAAATTCATATTTTGTATCAAATATTGAAATCAATGTATAGTGAGGATGAGCGACAGGATATATCCAAAATGCATTTAGCAATAAATACGTAGGAAATGAAAAAAGTATCTCAATTTCTTTCTGTTCCATGACCGTCCAGTGTGATGTCTGCCTGCATGAAAACTGCACTAGCAAGAAACAATAAATACGGTCAACAGACAAACAAGCAATTTGAGTAATAATTCCTTACATTCAAAAGAACTATTCTAAAGCAGAATGTCATCTGGTCAGATCAAGCAAGTTATCTCTATGCCAAAACTGTACTGAATTATATGAGACAAGAAAACATCACCTTAGTCCAGGGGTCACCAAACTATGATCTTCAGTCCAGATCAGTTCATCCGGCCTGTTGCCACACTGTGCCACAAATGAGCTAAAATATAATTATTTATATGGAAATATCATAGATTGTAGATAAACTTACTATGTAAAAAAATTTAATAATTGTAAGTAAAAATGCCAAAATTGGTCCAATCTGATTTTTGCACCTGACAGTAATACAATTTTTAGATAAATCAGTGAAATAAAAAATTTGGTGACTTTTCGTAACTTTGGATATCAGAATGCTTTCTGTGTAAGTACATGCAATGAAGTTTCTAAAGAAAGCAATTGAGAGCTTGCTGCAGCAATTGTGTTTGTGTATTGGTAAATAAATATGTTGGTTGTCTTTATTTTTTGTGTATTCAGTGTGCCGTATTGAACAAAATGGTTATATGGCTTGTGCTCATCATTCTCTCAGTTATCTGGCCCATTGTGAAAAAAGTTTGGTGACCCATGCCTTAGTCAAAAAGAAAGATAATCCTGCAAACATGATAAAAATTAAAGATTGCCAATTGAGGATTTTTGAGTAATTCTCAAGGCAATTGGTTACAAAATGGGGTGAAAGGCAAAGAACATAGATCAAACTGCACACCTGACATAAACTAGTCTTGTAGACAAACTTACATTGCACATCCGAAGTCAAATTGACTACATTCAGTGATCAGGACTCAGAATTTTAAAGATAATGCACTGTTCATTACCTTTCAGATGACTATTTAGTTCATAGCGTTGTCTTTCTTCCAAAGTAAAAATTATGTTACACCAATTTGTGCAGATTTTTTCATAGCACCCATTATAACATTCCTTCACTTATTTATATTTCCTTTCGGCTTGCCTAATATTTAATCATTTCAAAATAATAGTATAATTATACTCTATTTTAGTATAATTAATTCCAGCTTAATCATTAAATTCAGAATATAGCAATTTTGCTTCACTTGTTTTGACTCCTTAGATATAAGAACAGCAAGGACTTCAAGGAAAAGCCTTTTTCAATGGTCCTTTTACAATAATTAACCAACAAAACAAAACAAAAAGAAAAAAAAAGTCAAACAAAAGTTCCAAACTTATAAATACTGCTATTTTTAACACATCTGTGATTTAATAGATAGCATTTAGTTATAAATATCAAAAATTGAATAAAACTATTCAATAAGTCATAGCATTATAAATCATTTATATATTTTACTAGCATTTATATGAATTTTAATTGTTAAAAATTATGTAATTCTCTGTTTATATTTAATACATTATATATTGACTTTACAATGTAATCTTATGTATCAATAAAATTTCTTTCATGATTTGTGATAATTAATTCTTTTCAATCCATGTGAAATAAAACTTCTTCCTCTAGATCATGAAAGTTACGAAGAAATTAACTTTATAAATAAAATCTTAGAATTCGCTTTGAATTCATTGTTTGTAGAAAGGCAAATTCCATATTTATCATTAGCTATAATTGTCAATTTAATCATTTAAATATAAACTATGTAAAGAGAAAAAAAGATAATAGCTAAAACTTATAAATATTATAATACAAAAACTTATTAAAAATGCGTCAATAATATAGTATAAAAAAATTAAATCTTTCGATAACTTACTCATCTGAAGGGTCAATTAATGCAACTTCTGACGTTACTAATAATGGTCGTTCATCTTTAACCATAACTCCCGGAAAGTTTTTAGTCTTTCCAATATATTTGTAGTCCTACAGAAAAGAAATTACATCAGTATTTTATTTTATATTTTATTTAAAATTTTAAAATTTTAATGGCGTTTTGAAAGAAACGCTTTCAAACTACTCGTAGACTTAAAATAAATGCATTTATTTATGAAACTAACTTGTAAGTGAAAAAAGCAAATTTTACTTTTATGCAGTCGGTTACCATTTTGCTCCGTACCCTGAGGAATGATTCTAGGATTTTTTATTATTTTGTCCTATGGATTTATTTTTTAAAATGAATTCTTAGTGTAATAGTGTCGCTGGGTATAAAAAACCGCAGGACTGAAAATCAATAATTATATAACTACATATGCTAACTTAATTCAAAAAACCATTAACTCGTTATCAGCGAAAATTAGTAAATGGGCATTAATTTGATTGTAATAACTTTGCNTCACAAATGGAACAAAATAAAAATGATTATTAAAAAAATATCCAATTTTGAACATTTGCTATTTTTCTCATATTATTTACTTAATGCTTCATAAAAGATAATTAAAAATAAATTTTATTCATTCCTAATAGTTAAAAAAATGATAAAATTACAAGCATCTTATCCTAACTAATGAATAAAAAATGAAGTAAAAAAGCATATTCATAGATGAAATTGCTTTTTAAATTCATTCTTTAACATTTATTTATTTAAGATTAAGAGTAATTTAATTATATGTATAACTATATCATGCATTAATATAGCTAATTTTTTTTTGTTAATTATATATATCCTCAATGGCCATGCTGCTCTTCTAGACCGTTACTGTGGGTTTCATATATTTAATTATAATACTTAAATATACAGAAATATTTATTCATTTTATAAAATACCAATTTCAATAGAGAATGCAACTCTTGTATTTCTGATAGGCAATATATAGTTCCTGTCGTGACAAGGTTTGTCAACCCTAATATATGCAATCAATAACAAAATAATCCAAATCATTTAACATATGAGAATACCCCTAACTATGATTTTCTTTTCCTGTTTTGATATCATTTATTATATTAACATTATGTATTATACTCTTCCACAATAATGAATTAACCATATGTTGCTGCTAGTCAGGTTCACATAAAACATGCTAGCAAGGTCATTTGCTAGTACCTTTTTTATGAGATAAACTAGCAGCAACATATGGCCAATTTCCCAGATGGAAGAGACCCAAAATTTAGAATTTTTAAATAAGAAACATACCAATGATAAATATTAAAGTTTCTTTTGATGGCTGTTAAATAATTTATTTTATTTGCATACCTTATGACTTTCAGAGATAACAGAACTCAACATTTGCATAGTTCAGGTGCTTGATTCCATTTCTTATCTCTCATGTACTGTTACTACTTATATTCTAACTTTATAACTTCTGTATACTGTATATTTAATAATTTTATAGAATGTTATAATAAAAATGTATAGTAAATAATTATTCTAAATCTGGAAATTATCTGTGGATTTACAATGTGGATTTATGGTTTAAATTTATTACTTCTTTGTAAAATTAAATATTGATTCACTTTCAGGTTACAGGTTATAAAACTCACTTAAATAATTTAAAATGTAATCAGTTATTTAAAATAGCTTTATTTATTTTTCATATATTTACAAAACTTTATACAAAATAAATATATCTGTAAATTTAAAATCTTCGATTAAAAAAAATCAATCAACAAGTTGTAACTTTCCCAGCAACATTTGATGGTGCCATCTGTTGTTATATTTTATTAAAATGACTTTATATATTTTTAACTATTATAAAATGGCAAAAAGTTTAATTTTGAGGGTAGAGATGGGTTTCATAAAAAAAAATTGTAATGCTAATAACAAGTAAAATCTTCAGTAAGTCTGATCCTACTGGAGATACACAACCCTCTTTATCCTCCCACCCATCAATCTTTAATCACCAAAATTTAATAACATCAATTCCCCTAATAAAAGAACCTCCCTGCAAAATTTCAAAAATTTTCAACAAAAATCACAGGAGTTATTATCCTTCAGACAGGATGAAGAAAATCATGCTCCCCCACACACAAACATCCATACATACAGAAATTACCCCAGATTTTTTTTTGCATTTCTCAACATTTCAAGGTGTCCCAAGTCCAAAAATGTAAAAATATTTGGGGGTCATTTTTTGATCAATCGCCATACTTTTCCTCTTTTATATGTAACAGCTGGGAAGGTAAAAAGTAGCACAGAGTAAACTAAAAACATACTTTATATTTCCCAAACAATTGCAAAGATTTTGGAGAAGATAAATTTATCAAAATATGAATTAATCTTTACATTATTTAAGTTTAACCAAAAATAAAATAAAAATTGCATTTTGAATATGATTCAAAACAATAAATGTGTAAAAATATATTTTAATATATTATAATACAATATTGATCATTGTAAACCCAATAATTACAGTGAAATATAGGTATAATATTTCATAAAACTATAAGAGTTCAGTTATCAGAAAACTATCTTTTGTTCTTTTTATAAGAAAAATAGGTGTGTGTAGTGTTGTTGTGGATTTAGTAATATTAGTCAAAACAAATTTTAAAATCTTTATACTGAATTACATTGAATCTATCATAATTAAGATAACCAATAATAAGAATTTAACTACTACTTACTTTAATTATATAAATAATAAACATTTACCAATAACAAAGTTAGTAAAATAATTGAACATATATATACAGTATATATAATATATATGAGTATATATTTTTAAAATATTAATTTATACTTATACAAAAGTAAATCTCTTAAATTTTTAGGTTTATAGAGAATTTAATTTAAAAATGTAAGGTTTTCGTCTTAATGAATGTAATTCATTTATCTTTCATCAGAATTACCACTTAGTGAAAACATAAATTAATGTACTGTATCTGCTTCCAACAGGTGGTGTACCACTGAAAGGTAATTGGGTATTATTTATTGGAAAAAAAAGAAAATATTAAAAGCTTAATAATGTAACTCTTTAATAAAAAAATACATTGTTATCCATCAAATACACATTTAAATTGCTGATTTTTTCTTTTAACTTTTAACACTTAAAGGTTTTTTCTACACTCATCATAAATTCAGCCAGTTCCACAATAGGAATAGCCAGTTGGTAAAAGCCAGAAACCTGACATATCTGGGTTACTCCCTTGATAATTTTTGAACTAACCCAGACACAAATCCAGCACCTAGAATGGCAAATGGTGCTTTTATCACATGAGCAATCATCTATATAATAATTGAAAGAGAGTTTCAGTTTGTCCAACCTGTTTGAGTAAACAGCTGGGGATAAAAATACAGTTCAGGTATCAAATTAAAGCTCTTACCCAGTAGATGATGAGATGTACCAAAGAGATTTAAGAAAAGTTCAAATGGTTCAAGTGTGGCAAAGTAGCAAACATATAATGCTAAGTCTACAGGACAAACATTCCAGAGTTCCACCCCCTGTTAACTTTAGCTCATACAATTTTTGTGTTTTGCAGTTTCATTATTGTAAATACTAAGGTCAATAAATGTAAATAATAGTTACTAAACTCATTGTTTTTATCATCCTCATCCAACTCCCACCTTGTCAAAAGCCTGAGCAATGCAGTTAGTATCCCATCTAGTTCAATACAATTTTATTTTGTTGATTATTTTAAAATTTTTATTCAGCTATTCTTTAATTCTGATCTTATTGCAAAATATTTAAGAAAATTTATAAAATAATATTCCATTACATAAATATTTTTTAGACTAAGATTTTTTATATTGTCTCCTGTATATATATGTAAAAAGACTCATTTTAATGAAACAAAATACAGTTAAGCTCCTTAAAAAATTAATCTCATTACTTCTTCTTTTTCTTGTATCCTATACCTTTGCAAAATTCATAAAGTAATTCTCTTAGTTTAATAAATAAAATTAGGTCATGAAAACACAATTTATTTATAAAACCATACAAAATCACATTCATGTAAAAAACCTCCATAAGTTCAATTTTATATCCAAAAATAAACATTTTTAAACAATTAAAAAAGTAATGGAGATAAAATTTATAATAGATATCCAGAAAAAAACGATGCTGTTTAAGTTTTGAAAACACAAACATGTTATATGTATCACAATAATTCACAGACCACTGGTAGGACAGCATTAGTGTATGTAATAACTTATGTAATAAATACATTAATTAATTTAAAATAATTTAAAAATATTAAAACTTAATAACTGGCTAAATTTGCACAAAATTTAAATTTTAGACTTAAAGTCAAATTATTCATAGGTTTGAACATTCATAAGTAGAGGATCTCCTGTATTCAAATGAGTAAACCTAACATTGCTTTGTTTTACTTAATGTGCATATCAACATACTTTGAGTTATCTAAGTGAGATGGAAGTTTGTGAAAATATCAAATTTAAAGCTGAAAGAAGATCAGAGAGGAAAATTATTACACACGTTTCAAGAACAAAGATTGCAATTCATAATGTTATTAAATGACTTAATTATGCAAAAGGTTAAAGATCAAAAAGAAAACACTTGCTTAATGAAAGAGAAGAACAAGCTGTTCAAAAGAAAGCGATACGAAGAGGAAAATCTACAAGAAGAACTGCTAGGGAAACAATCACAAGGGTATTACATAAAATTATATGGAGAGCAATTAAGAAATCTTATTGTGCTACATACAGATTTACCCCACCATCTGAAATTAGTGTGCTCCTAAGAAACATATTTTGTAAATTGAAATGGTGTAAAGCAATGAAACAATTACCATAAATTTACATGGAAAAAATTTTCGAGGAACCGCAGACCAAAAACAAATAACCTAGTTTTTTTTCCCTTTGATATACAGTCGACCCCCCTATAAGATATAGATACGTTCCATTCTTTAGGAATCCGATTTCTTACAAGTCGTTCCAATCACAGCCCGACACGTGTCAAGTTTACGGACTACGGCTGATTGAAAGGTTTTCTTCCATAAAATTAATCGATTCTAGACTAATCCGACTCAAC